GTTTTTCAGTGTCATTGTCTTAAAAGGAGGAAGAAGCCAAGTGTATTTCCCCAATTAAATTCGCATCCACATCAATTGAATTATGTAGTGCAGTCACCATAAGATTCACTAGAGAGTTTTGATGTGCTATAAACATTTGTATTACATTCCAAGCATGGATGTTAAAGGGATAGTTGAGCCAAAATGATAATTCCGTCATAATTTCCTCACCCTTATTTTGAATATTTTGAAAATTTCATCGAATGGACAAAAACAGTTGAAACATTCTTTAAAATATCCATAAAATAAAGAAAGTTATACAGGTGAGGGTGAGTAAATGATGACAGAATTGTAATTTTTGGATGAACTTCTGCCTTCAAGCCATGATTTTGAAGGAAGAACGAATTACAGGCTGATGTGACATTGTCAGTGGAAAGTATTGCAACACATCAAGCATTTATCTTTCAGTTTATGGATTTTATGATGCCATGAACCTTTGCAAATGCCAGAAATACCCACCTCACATTCACTGAAGACATTCTACAGTCTGCCTGAAATGTATATTTGTACTTTATCTCAGAAAAATGCATATTTCTTTGTGAAGAAATGAACAAGAATGGTGATAATAATAAACCACCCTCATATGATGATCCCTCATCCAGAGGGCAAACCCTTTGGCTCTGACCTGCAGTTGGAGAGAAACTGAAAGTATGGAAAGAGCATGAGAGCCAGAAGACACAGGAGCGGGTTAGAGAACAGGCCGTGTGAGGCGTGACTGAGCATTCTATAGCTCACACTTAGTATTCCGTAGGAGTGTGTGGAAAATGAAGAGGCTAGATGGGACGGTGGTGGGGGTCCATGATTCTCCTTTAAAAGGCGGTGAGCAGCAGATCAGTCCCAGCTCGCTAGTTCTAAAGGGGATTAACCTCGGGCCGAGTTGGCCCGTCTTCACCCCTCTCTCAAGCCGCCATTGCCATAGCGACTCCATGCCAGTCTTTGCGGCTCTTAATCCAACAGGGCGAAGGCCAACAGTGGTAGGCGGCACAGTTACCATGCTAACATCTGCAGCACTGCTACTGCTTGAGCTACACGTCAGTATGCAACTTATACAAAGACAGGAATACAATTTCAGGTATTTCAAAGGAACTTGGGCTTTTTAAAAGGAATTTAAACATCTGCCAAATGATCAAATGTAAAGGTGATTTTCAAGGCATGCTGCGTAAAGGAAATTGTAATTATTATAATATAAAAGTATTATGTGATATTTATTAAACATAAATCTTTTATCAAAGATTGTACAATAAATTAGGGGTCAGTAAGATAAAAAAAAAAAAACTATTATTTTTATTCAGCAAGGATGCATTAAATTGATCAAAAGTGACACTTTTGAACTCTCTATCCATCAAATAATCCTGAAAAAATGCATTATGGTTTCCATAAAAATATTAAGCAGTACAACTGTTTTAAATGGATTATTAGGAAAATATTAGGATGATTTATAAGATTCATGTGGCACTGAAGACTGGAGTAATGAGTGCTGAAAATTCAGTTTTGCCATCAGAGGAATACAACAGAATTAATTATTAAACGGAAAACGGTTATTTAACATTTTATTTAAGTGTACACAACTTTACTGTTTTTGCTGTATTTTTGATCAATTAAATGCAAACTTGTTGAGTGTAAGAGAGTCTTTTAAAAACATTTAAAAAATCTTACTTATCCCAGACTTGTGAACAGTATGTATAACATGTGCCATTATATTACATTATTTAAAAAAAAATTTCATTATAACATATTCTTCAAGTCAGATTACCTGGTGCTAAACTTGCTGTTCATGTGTTATTTTGGGACTGTTATCATTTCTCATTGGACAATGAAACCGTTAAACATTCCACTCACTAGATACAGTAGACCTGTGTAAACACTTAGCGCTCATACTCGCTCTCTGGCACACAGCGTATTCCCTGAGCTCCAAAGGTTTTGAGATCACAAATAAATTGTTTCCTGACCTTGCGATTCAAAAGCATAAGGAGCCATGCATAATGTCTAATTTACTGTCCCCATAGAGAGAGACTTTCATCCATTTTTCACATATTAATATTAGATTATAGTTGTCAGCCGCTAAAGCAGCAACCCCTCCTCTCACTCTGATTAATCAGAGCAGATTGTAAATACAAATATTTTATAGCCGCCTCATAAAAGCAGGACGGAGATCAAGACTCTCGGGAAAGTAAGCAGTATCTCCCCTTCCCCCTTTCCTCAGTCATTTGAGAAATTAAGTCAATTAGGTTTTCAGAAGGACAGGCCTGTTACATTTTCCAGAGCACGGCGATACGTTTATAGGAGATCAAAGTGTCCTGTCATGCCGTCTGGTGTCCTGCTTTCTCTCTGTCGAAACCTCCATTACTCTAAACACTGATGTCCTGTCAACACACATAGTTTGAAGCTGAAATGGCAGTTAATGGTTATCTGTCAACAATTGTTCACATCAGTCATATTGTTTCAACACACCGGGTTTGGAGTTCTTGTGCTACACCATCAGTTCTGTGGATGACACATTTGTCTAGCGAATGGCTGCTCACCTTTTTCTCTCATTTTTTTTGTTTCTCTCTCTCTCGCTAGTCTCTCCTGTTGTCAGTGCACATCAAACGTGAGGGCGAGTCTCCAGTTGTGTCCCCGCTCTCCTCTGATGAAGCTCACCATTCTGACAGATACCAGGTGAGACGGGAAACCTCAGACAGAGGGAATCTGTCACAGGTGCAGAGTGACAGACTGTGCAGTTCTGACACTCTGAGCACAACTCCACACACAAACCGAAACTCTCCACTCTGATGCAGCCCTTCATTTCACTGGGTTTTAGCTTGTTGAGGGTGTCTCAATATGTGGGAGTTTCAAATTGAAGGGAAATCCGGGCACAAAATGTCAAAGTTGTTGCTTTACCTGAGACGTAATGAAACGTGATGACTTATAAATAACCATTACAAAAAAAAACTTATTTACCACCAGAATACTTACTGCAGGTATATTGTTACTACATTAAAATTGTAGTAACTTGCTATTTATTAGCACCAAAAAACAAAATGCAGCTAAAATGGTAAAAACATTTATAAGGTTTTTGAAGGACAACCCATATGATTTAGTTTTGGTTTTACAGTTCAAATCAACAATAACTGAATACAGTAATTTTTACACAAATTAAGTTACTATAAAGGAAACATCAATTCACATTTATAAATTAAACTAAAGGACTCCTTGAAACCTAAATACCTCCTAAAAGTCTCCTTGAAAATGTTTTATCCAGAATGTTTTAAAATAACAGAATGGAATGATGTATACAGTGGGTACGGAAAGTATTCAGACCCCCTTAAATTTTTCACTCTTTGTTCAGCTTTTCTCCTCCACAATATTCTCCATCTTATCCCAGACTGGATCTGACTGCCGGACGTATTAATACAGACTGAAATCTGCTCTGCTAATCTCCAGCCCCAGGTTTACTCAGGCTGTAATGTGTGTTCTGCTCTGATATGTAATCATCCATAGTTTAACCCTGGGCTAATCTACGCTGCCCCCGAGCCCCGGATATCATCTCTGTGCTCCAGTGTCCTTGACATGTTTGTTTTCTTCCTCCTTCCCCCTGGAGCTGTGGGTCTGTGGGACATTTTGTCCGCCATCTCTATCTCTCCCTCAACCCTAGAAGTGGGAGAATTTCTCAATTAAAACAATATCCGGACAGATCTTTGCACATTAGCTGTAAGAAGGCCCTCCTGCATGGTCCTGATAAGTTTTTCGAATTTGCCTCTAACGTCACAAAACTCAAAGTAATTAAGTACGCTGACTGATATACAGTGTTTGTCAAGAGGCCTTAAATATGTAATGACACCATTTAAAGAGGATTTTTGTAGAACTTCTCATTAACGAAGCTGCCCAAATGCCTTTATGCTAATAATGCTTTTTTCCTAAATTTCATGATTATTCCCTTCTTTTTTTTACGCAATCTGTCTGGTGTGCATGCATTGGGCCATTAACATTGTATCATCATAAAATAGACTGACTTTTAACAGCAGTGGCTCAAGAGTTTCTAAAGGGCTCTGCCTATAGGCATTATACATGAGCCGACCGTTTGTACCTGTATATATAGTTAAACTTGAATTATTTTGATAGGTGTGTATCTTTCCTGTATTTCTGTTCAATGTGACAGTCATGAAAAAACACATACATGCTGTTTTTCTATGAAAATAACATTTTATTTTGAGCATATTTGTGGGGTAACATGTTTGTTGGGCTATAAAATCTGTTACTGAATATCTGTTGCTTTTTTGTCACAAAATATAGGAAGGATCAGTCTAAAACACAGTTACACAAATCTTCATATCTTACAAGAAATGTGCAATGTTCTTAAGACAAAAAGAAATGACTGAAATAGTCTCAAACAAATACATTTCCTTTTGATTATGAACAGTTCATTGTCCCAGAAAAAGAAAACGACTGAACGAAGCATAGTTTTTAAGCCAGAAGAGTTTGTTGTTGAGACCTCTTAAAAGTCAAGTGAATCGAGCAGCACAGATCATATGCGTTATTTACATACTGCTGCGCCCCAGTGGCGACAGACGGAACTGCACAACTTGATACTTTTGACTCTGACGTGACGGTCACATGACCGGTAGAAATATGGCGGCGATGGCGGGCTGAAACGAACTAGTAAGCCTAACATTTTCAATCCTTCTTCATCCTTCGCAAATTGATTATTGAGTCTCATATTGGGGTTTTGGAGGAGAGTTATCGGGGCTTCATGCTTTAGTAAACCAAATGAGTTTGGAGAGTTGTGGCGTTTGCAATGGAAGAGGATTTGCAGAACATTGGCAAGAGAGAAGTAGGTTTGTTTACATTCAGACATCAGGGAACCGCTGCAGAATCCAGCGCAATCTAGTGAAAGCACATCATTAAAGTCCTCATAAATAAATGAGAAATACATTTGAATGACTGACAGATTTTTCTTTGTTCTTCCCCCCCTCCACCTGCAGACATTTTTACGAGTGCGAGCTAACAGGCAAACACGATTGAATGGTATGTATATTTTCTCCCTGCAACAAGAAAAGTGGTGTATTTTGATTGTTTATCTGCTGACAAATGCCTTATAAAAACGTAATTGTCATCCACTGAGTAGTGTAATGCTTTATATCATCAGTATAATGTGCAGTTAATATGGAGAACTTTACCTAGTAGGCTTCACTGTAATGTTTAAACTGTATAGTATGAATTATTATTACTGGAGAATAATAATTATTATTTTGACATCAGTAAAAAATCGCAATATTAATACAACAATGTTAAATAGTAGTAATGGTAATAAATAATAGTCTTATTAGTTTATTTTAATATTTGTTGATGTACAACAAAATGCTCATACCTGTCAAAATGAACTTCTTATAAAAACCTGACAAAAATGCCAGGTGTCAAATAGAGCAAAATTGGATTATTTGTGGATTTAATGTTGGATTCATAATGTTAGATCATTTATAATCTTTACTTGATAAAATAATACAGTTTAAGGCATTTATGTGACATTCTGCTCAGTGAGCATTACTTGAAACACTTTACATGCTCTGCAGACTCGTTTTGCTGATAAAACTGACAATGAGCCCAGTATGGTTATCTGAACCCCAACACATAGTCATTAGTCGGTGTGTGTGATGGAGCTGCCGCATCTGTGGGGAGGGTTATTGTGAGCTGGGAGCTCACTGACCCGAGGCCAGTTGTTATTCTGGGTGTTGGTAACCGTCTGGCACGAATAAGGAGCTCCTCACCTCTCAGGGTGCATCAGCCAAATGCTCATCAGCACTGGTGTCTGTCATGTGGCCTTGCCAGAAGCTTGGCATCCACGTCAACCTCAGCGTCCATGCCACATTTTGATATTAAATAACGTGGCTGTTTATTATAGGTGTTGTAGTTTGTAGTCAGTTTTGGCCAGCTGTTTTTGCACTTCCCTTGACTGTGGCACCTGCCCAAGCAGAGAATCTCCTTAACCCTTGGTTTTTTCATGTGTCAACAGTCGATGACCTCTGCTGGTGCAGGCGCTACGCCAAGGAAAGTTTCAAAAGTCCCCCAATCCCAGTGCCCAGAAGAGTGCCCCTAGCTCCTTGCTGCCTGCGGCATGGTAAGACCCCCTCCCCCCTTTATCGCAGCCGCAGGCACTGTAAGGGCAAATGGGGCTGTCTTTGTTTAAGCCCGAGCCCATATTAAAGTATATCACCTCTCGTCTGAGACGCTGTGATTTCAGAGTGAGGAAAAACTCCTGCCGTGCCTAATTAATCTGCCTTTCTTCATGCTATTTAATGATGCCCATCTCCTCCACATTACCGTCAACGTGGCCGGTGCTTCTCTCTCTTCTTCCTCTCCTGGAGGTAATGGCAGAAGCTCCCGCCTCTCCTCCTCCAGTCCCCCTCGGCCCCATTCGCAATCACAGCCACCTAAAAATTAATGTCCCCGCATGCCATTTGCAGTTAAGAAAAAGCGACAGAGACTTACGGCGCAATAGGCACTGTTCTGCTGTGTTAAATTTCTAATTATGTGCTTGGGGAGGGGAGGGGGAAGAGCGAGACAACCAGAGAGATCCGAGCCCTGGCCGTTTCGTGTCTGTCCCGATGTAACCAGGAGGAATTGGTGTTTGGATGCAAAGGTCTGATGGACAGTTCACCTCTCTATCCCTATCACGTCACTGTCGTGTTTTGCAGCTCATCTTTCTTGCCTCAGTAAAATCCATGGCTGGAGATGCCTACTAGCCTCAAGCTAAATCTGTAAAGGATCCTGATCTATGTGGGGTTTTTTATGTGAGATTAATGCTGCTCGCTCTTTCTGAATGGTGTTTTTTTTTATGGTTAGACTCTGTGTCTCTTGTGACATCCTTGGTTGTGCATATTAGCTGTTAATGTATTCAAGTTTTAATGTACATAAATCAATAAATGTAATAATTAAAATCTAAAAGTTGTTTTAATAGAATATATATTAATTACATATTTAATTTAATTCAATATTTATTATTTTATTTTAAATGTATTTATTTTTTTATTTTTTTATCGTTACCTGATATTAGATTGATTTATCATGTTATTTCTCTTTTTTTCTTGTGCTGCAGCCCGGATTGGGAAGATGAAGCGCCGGAAGCCTGAGGATGGACAGGTATGTCCACTGTGCAGCACGCCGCTGACAGGGACAGAGGAGGAAATGAGTAGGCATGTGGAACAATGTCTGTTCAAGGTAGCTCCATAAACCCAGAGATCTGGGCCTCCAACCTCCTCTAGAAGCTTTGGCTTTTCTGCCCTCACCTTTCCCTGGACATCAGCCATCTGACAAAAACACAGACACATATATAAATGTTTCTGGGAATTAGTTTCTTCTGATTACACCTATGTTGTATTCCTACATGGGTGTCCAGGGAATAGTTGAAGGATTAGCTCTTTCCTGAAGTGTTCTTCCTCCTCCTCCACTTAGATTTGGTTGGCAGTTTCGGCGTCCTGAACCTACTTTAAAGATATTCTACTATATTGTCATTAAACAGTTTCTAAAGAGGCTCAATGGAATCTGTTGTTCACACAGTCTGACTGGCTTCCCTCTTTTTAGTGGTTCAGGATGCAGCACTTGCCCTTTATATTATATAGCAGGTTCCTCTTAACCCATCTAATCCAGTAGTTCTTATGATACTAATGCACTCTTGGTGGTTGGATTCGGGTGTTCTGTTGCATGTGGTTTGATAGCTCCTAAAATTAGACATCATTAGAAGTTAGTGGATTTGAAAGCGCTGCTTTGATTTCCTCTGTTGTAGTCACACTTTGTGGTTTTTTCTTTTTATATTGAATGAACTGATTGAAGTGTTTTGGTACATGTTTGATAAGTGGTTTTGCTCTCTCAGAGGGAAGGTGCAACAGAAGAGGATTCCGCGGATGTTGAAGGAGAGAACGGAACGCGGTTTGAGGAGTACGAGTGGTGTGGACAGAAGAGGGTCCGAGCTACTACATTACTGGAAGGTGGTTTCAGAGGTAAGCATTTTATGGCATTTTCTTATGTTTTTAAAGGAATTTGTTATGCTCACCAAGGCTATGCTGATTTGAACAAAAATTTGAATCCATTTTAAAATGTATTTTATTACTGTTACTTCAGCCTGTTAGCAGCCATTTCTCCAGTCTTCAGTGTCACATGATCCTTCAGAAATGATTCTAATATAACTGATTTGGTGCTCAAGAAACATTTCTTAATGTTTAGTGATGGTTTTTTTAAATTGAAGTTTATATTCCAAGGTTGTCAAAATAACTTTCAAAGCTACAAACCACAACCTTTAAAGCTGTTTAAAAAGGGTACATACATTTCTTTCTCGATGTACCCCAAGATCAGCGTATTCAAGTGGCATGTGTGTGTTCATTTATACGCTAGACGGCTGTAGTCCAGACAAGGTGAGTTCTGGCAGGCCCTGCTCGGCCTTTAAGGAGTCAAAGGAAACACATTTAGCTGTGCAATTGACCCGCCTCACCCAGTACAGAGATGTGTGTGAGAAAAATGGGCTGCTGACCCTTGGGCTTCCCCCGCTGCAGGAATGCAATTATAGCTCCCAACCTAACTCTGCTCACCTGGGACGTTCTCTATCACATACACACACGCTCCCTAAGACCCTATTTGATGTGCTGCCACACTCATTGAAAGACTTTCAAGGGAATTCTAGTTGGTTCATAAATAATTTACCCCTTCAGATTATTTTTACACTTGGGAGGAAGTGTCAGTCATTCCTCCATACTTGAGATTTTTATCTTTTAACTTTTCTCAATGTTGGATCAGTTTTGAAAGGGGTTTATTTCTTCGGTTAAGTTTGTGGAGGTGGTGCTTTAGAGGAAGTGCTAAGTGAACGTCTCAGTTTTCCCCCTCACTGTTCGTTTCATATTTAGAAAAGGAGTTAGTCTCCTTCCTCAGCAGTCTTTTGTAAACTTCTGCGCTCTTAAATGGAAAGGCTGTTCGATCCCAAGGAGAGACCAGATTGCAAAGCTGTGTGGATTAAGAAAAGAAACAGACTTGCTCCTCTAACGCCCGGCTAGACAGACGGTGGCCCAGATCAATTCTGCATGTGAACAGAGCCATGTGTCTGTACAGAAGCTCGCCAGCCCTTTATCTTCAGCACAGGCACCGGTGTAATGGCGATAGAGGGGGGACCTGGTGAGAAGTGACTCGGTGGCCCAGGGGCCACTTGAAAGCTCCCCCCAGGATGCTCAGAAGGTGGATTTTGCCTTGAAAGCTCAGCTGAAGTCCTCAAGCGTTCAATCGGTCTGCATTGCAGAATCCCTCCAGCCCAGGGGGAGCTAGACTGGGGAGGGGGGCTTGAAAGGAGTCTTCAATGGGATAAGAGGGCTATCGTCTCTGAAGCACCAGCACCTCTCTCTCTTTGAGGACCCGGGAAGAAAGCAGAGAGGAAACGCTTTAAACCGAACAAAAAGAGCATGATAAGGGAAAAGGGAGACCGAGAGGAAGAGAGAAATCGAAGAGGATCAGTTTGTGGTGGAGGCCCGTAAGGCCTCCTGTGTCCGTGGCTTAGCAGGGCTGTTGTGCTGATGAAGAGATAGCGATGGCAGTCACAGGCAGAGATGGAGGAGATTTGGTGCAGTCGGGAAAGAAGAACAGAGGCCCGCCACTCGTCTTTGTAAAGAACCTTGAGAGATGGCAGCTTTGAGCCCCCTCCCTGGCAGGCGTACATGGTAAATGCCATCCTGATTGGGTGAACTCTGACCTGCGACACATACTGCGGAAGTCAGATAAGTGTCATGGCAACGAGGTGGAGGAGAGGCCATGTTTCATGTCCTGTTTCTCTGGGATCTCTGCTTCCCCTTTCTTAGCTGCGACATGACACACCTGTCTGGGGTGACATATGTAGATTAGCACTTAACAATCATGGCATATGTAAATCAGCTTGCAAAATGTGACCCGACAAGGAAAATGTGTTTTATGCATGTGACGACTTAACATTTAAATGGGTACAGGACTTGCTTTGAACATGACGCATTGCAAATGGCTGTTATTGTCATGCAAAGTGTTGCAGAGCAATACCGGTAAATACAGGCTACGTTGTAAGGGAGTTTTTTATTCATCCACTGTACACAGTGACGAAGAAGAGGAGTAAGCTTATGTCCTAGAGGCTGCCGGGCAAAGAGGCGGTGCGACGATGTGCATAATTTGACTGAGAGGCAGTTAGAGTGGCACTGACCTTTTCGGCACAGATTAGATTGCCTGCCAAGACCACTTAACAGTGGCCCCAGCTTTCACAATCAGACACACTTACAACATTGCTCGGGTAGTTATACACCATTCAGGTGGCCGTTTTGAAGTTGTGGTTGCCTGAGTAGGTTTGCTGTGCTTTTTTCAGTCTGGCTAGATTTCGTCAGTGTACGCACTAAAGCGGACAGTCTTCCTGTCCATGCTGAATCAATTCTGCATGACATCCTTTCTGCCCTAGTTCTAGCAAAGCATTAGCCAGGATCCATAGCCTGATCAATTGATTGAATTAACAGTGATTTTTTTTTCTTTTGGCTGCTTAAGGCCTGCCACATCTTCCTCTGGCCTGCCTGCCATTAGTGGTCACTACATTGTTTATTAGCTTTTCCCTCATTTTTCCCCTGGTGTGGCTTTCTTTGCAGCTTGTCAACAGTGCATTAATGAAATGTTTGCCATCATTTACAGATTATGGTCTTTTATTTTTGGCTGACTGTACCCTTCCACCCCTTTCAGTTGGGTCAGAGGATTGGTAGTGTTATCTATAGACCACTTACACTATTTGCAAGCTGGAATGAGGTGATGCCAAACAGAACCCACAGTTCATGTTTTAATGGAGCTGCACACTTTCCTTCCTTTCTTGCACTTCGGTGCCACTATGATTAAAGTTTGCCCATACTTAAAGGGGTCATATGATGCAATTTCAATTTTTCTTTTCTCTTTGGAGTGTTACAAGCTCTTGGTGCATAAAGAAGATCTGTAAAGTTGCAAATACTAAAGTCTCAAATCCAAAGAGATATTCTTTATAAAAGTTAAGAGTCAGCCACGGCCTCCTAAAATGGCTCATTCAAACACGCCCCCACATGGCTACGTCACAATGTGGGAAGATTTGCATAACGCCGCCCAAATGTTCACGCAAAGAAAAAAGGTGTAACATTTATTCTCGCTGTTGCCGCCGCTACCATGTGGAGACGCTGTGTGTTTCGTTGTGAAAGCGAAACTACTTTGTTTGGCCTTCCGAAAGAGGACACAGCTAGAAATCAGTGGTTAAGTTGTATTTACAACACTGTTCTAGAACAGTTCAACCCAAATATTCAGATGTGTGCGGCGCATTTTATGGAGGATGAGGACTGTTTCCTGAACCAGTAGCCTACAATGTGTCTGTGGCACAAAGGCTGTTTCAAAGTTGGGGCAGTTCCAACTTTGCAAGGACAGTCTGGCGCTTGTGACTCACAGCCTGTAAGCACGTTTTTTATATTTAAATAATTTGCCACTGACTATTCAAACGTGAGTTTTGAGCAGTGTAGAGTTTATTATTTTTTACCTTAAACCACATAAACACATTGCATTACACCAAATACACAAAATAATGTTCTTTTAGCAACGTCATATGACCCCTTTAAATTCTGTTAAACATTTCTGACCAAGATACAGTACTGTTCAAAAGTCTGGGTTTCAAAAGTTTATTTTTTTAAAGAATTCTTTCATCCAATACGGACACATTAAATTGATTAGAAACAAAAAAAAAGAAAGCAGTAAAGACAATGTTACAAAATATTTCTGTTTCAAATAAATGCTATTATTTTGAACTTTAGATTTATCAAAGAATCCTGAATGTATTACAGTTTCCAAAAAATATTAAGCAGCATAACTGTTTTGAACATTGAGAATAAAAAAATGAATGAATTAAATTTATGAAACATATTAAAATAGAAAAGTTATTTTAAATTGCAATATTTCACACTAGTACCGTTTTACTGTATTTTTGATCGAATAAAAGCAGCCTTAGTGAGCATGAGAGACTAATTTATTAACAGAATGCTTTGTTATTGTTAGTGTTATCGGTAAATGTCAATGGACAGACACTCTAAGCCAGGGGTGTCAAACTCAATTCCTGGAGGGCCAGAACCCTGCAGAGTTAGATTCAACCCTAATTAAACCCACCTGATCCAACCAATCAAGTCCATCAGACTTATTTGAAAACTACATGGTTTCTGTGTTGGAACAAAACTCTGCAGGGCTCCAGCTCTCCAGGAATTAAGTTTGACACCCCTGCTCTAAGTGCAAGGTAGTCTAATAAACAGATATGTTTAATTCTGTAAGTTATTGTTGGTAATAAAAGCAGCCTTAGTGAGCATGAGAGACTAATTTATTAACAGAATGCTTTGTCATTGTTAGTGTTATCGGTAAATGTCAATGGACAGACACTCTAAGCCAGGGGTGTCAAACTCAATTCCTGGAGGGCCAGAACCCTGCAGAGTTAGATTCAACCCTAATTAAACCCACCTGATCCAACCAATCAAGTCCATCAGACTTATTTGAAAACTACATGGTTTCTGTGTTGGAACCAAACTCTGCAGGGCTCCAGCTCTCCAGGAATTAAGTTTGACACCCCTGCTCTAAGTGCAAGGTAGTCTAATAAACAGATATGTTTAATTCTGTAAGTTATTGTTGGAAAGTAATGTAAATTTAGACTGGTGTGCACAGTTGAACCCTGATTATCTTTTTGAAGAGCTCGGATTTATGTAGCTCAGCTATGGTGCGCATATGCCTCTGCAGTCACGGAGACCAAATAAAACTTAAAAGGTCTCTTTTATTTGATCACTAAAAACCATCGGCACATTGTAAAAAAAGGGCAAGCATTTGTGATGCATTTTATCCCTACTCTGCCTCTTTTGGATCCCTTTACGGAGAAGGGGAGAGACGGATCATGGCCGCCACATCCACTTTCAGTCCTTCTCTTTTCCGTCAGTGCCTTACACTCTCCCTGAAGGTTGTACTTATCCACTCCACACTGTGAGGTAGTCATCCCGTGTCGTAGCGCTTTGAGGAACAAGAGGAAGTACCATTCTCCACTTCCATTTCCTACCTAAGCTCCTCATCCGTGACAAACCCGTTCTCCAGCAGTGCCCTGACATCCTTCCATCAGCCCCGGAGGGGCCCGGCCCGTTCCAGCCTTTCACTGCTCAATCAGACTCTGGGTCTCTGCGGGCTGCTCCCACCCTTCAGGCTGCTGCCGATCCAACCTCTTCCTAACCAGAACTGAAGGACCCAGTTAGCCAGCTGCTGGAGTTTGTCTGTGCGCTCATCACTGGATTTATAGAAGTGCCACTCAGGCTGCACACCCCAGTGCTCAGGACCTACACCCTGACAGGCACCTGACACAACTCCCATTCAGACTGTCTCTGATGGCTTCATCTGGGCCCAGAGTACCAGGCTCCTTGCTTGTCTTCAGTAATCTGGTTCTGCTCACAGCTAGAACAGGCCTTTCTAATTGGGGTTTCTCTGGCATGACAAACCTGTCCTGGATTGGGACCGTTACAGTTGGAATGACAGATTTATTGTAATGTATAATGTGTATTATTAAATGCGACAGGATTTAAACCTAAATTTAATTTACTGATGACTCTTATTCCTCTCCTCCCTCTTTTTAGGAACAGGCTTTGCCATGTGTAGCACGAAGGAGAGCCATGACAGTGATGCAGACCTGGATGTGGATGGAGATGACACACTGGAGTATGGCAAAGCCCAGTATCCTTGATTAGTCGTCTTGAGACATATTGCTCTTCAGTGGCACTGTAGTAGGCACGGAAACAGTAACTGAAATTAGATGCATTTGTTCCTTAACTCAAGGTTTCAGGTACACTGAAGCAGACATCATTCCTTGTTCTGGAGAGGACCAGGGAGAGGCCAAAGAACGTGAGGCACTGCGTGGGGCTGTTTTGAAGTAAGCTGAAATGATTTCATCACAGACTGTAAAATTACAAATAACAAATCTGTAGACTTGGCCCTTATGCTAAATTTCTGTTTTTTTGTTTTGCTTTTCTATAGTGGTGGTGTGCCGTCTAATAGAATAACACCAGAGTTCTCAAAATGGGCCAGTGATGGTGAGTTGGCCTACAAATAATTGCTGTTCTTTTGAACTTTCTGTTCATCAGAGAATCCTGAAAAATAAAATGTTTTGTGGTGTATTAAATATAGTAAATGTAATATTTTAAATCAGATTTAATATATTAACTCAAATATGTATTAAAATAGTAATGTTATTTTAAATTGTAATAACATTTCACAGTATTACTGTTTTTGCTGTGTTTTCGGTCAAATAAATGGTTAAAAAGAACAAAAAACAATAATTTGTGCAATAAGTATATTCATTTTTGTAGTTGTGCTTTAAAGTATTTAATTTGTGTGCATTCAATCGCTGATTTAAAAAAAAACTAAATTTAGCAAGCCTTTTTGTCTATATTTGAGTTAGATTGTTATAAAATGAAACGTTGCTTTTGTTGGCCCTCATTCATTATATATGTTCTGTTTGTGTCTATTTTTGTAGAAATGCCATCCACCAGTAATGGTGAGAGCAGCAAACAGGAGCCAAGCTCTTCATCTTTGTCCTCCACACCGAGGACCTGTAAAAACAGCGAGATCGAGAAGTGAGTACAAACACACACCTGTCCGTAGTGGCAGTGTGTTTGCTGGTGTATTGGGGTGAGATTAGTTTGTGTAGGGACTGCAAGATCATAAATGATGCATTTAGTGTGCTCATCTCTCCGGAGCATGCTTGATCACAGGGAGTGGCCCAGAGTATTGATCCCAGGCAGCTGAGCCTTGTCTGGGGTTGACTCGCCGCACAGCCCGGGAATGCTAATATCCCTTTAGCCATTTCCATACTACAGCTTTTCACTGCAGGAATTGTGCAATATATTGATCTCTTATTGCGAGAGGTGAAGCCAGATAAAGGGAAATTGTTGGCAACACACCTCTCAGATGCTTCAAATAAGCATGTTAATGGAAGAAAAAGTGTTCATGTGGCCTGAAACTTATACTATCTGTATTACCTACAAATGTTATTTAAAGAGAACCGTCTTGCAAATAAAAGTGTACCATCAAACAACAAGGGGGCACAGAGAAAGTGAGATGAATCCTTGCACTCCACTGAGAGAGAAAACAAGATGGAGGGGGTGTAGCAGGCAGCCTCCAGCCGCAGATAAATTTGAATAACCTGAGTGGGTGAAAGGCCGGCCCCTGTAATTCCCTCATCTCTGTGTCCTCATCCATATTCCCCGACAAGTGCTCCTTCTAAACTCTCCTCCCACTTGCGTGTGTGGGGGCCCAGCCCCAGTGAATGGGTAATTGGGGTCAGAGCGCAGCTCCTGGTAGAAGAGGGGCTTATTGGCACGGTGGCGGTGCGACTGTCCTGGTTTGACCCCCCCCCCTGCTGTCTAGAGCTGGACCAGGGTTAACATGTTAGCCACAGATATACCTCACTCTGCCTACCCAACAGCGGGAACACAGCTGTCAGTCCACACGACCCGTGTCCTGTCTCTATCCTTGTTTAATCCCACTGTGCAGGGTTGTCCAAGGCAGTGCCAATTTTTAGTGTGTAGTGTGGTTAGTGATGGGCAATGATTAATTGCAACCAAAATAAAGGTTTTTGTGTAAATAATATGTGTACTGTGTATATTATGTATATATAAATACACACACATGCATGTATATATTTAAGAAAAATGTTATGTTTATATATTAAATATATTTATATGTTTTATAATATAAATTATATGATTATAATTATATACATGTAAATATTTCCAATATATATACTGTATGTGTGTCTTTATTTGTACATAATAAATATACACAGTACACACATATATTATATAAACATAGGGCTGGACGATATGGCCAAAATTTATATCACGATATATTAAAGAGCAACAACAAAAGCATGCTGCTGGAAATGGGTTTATTATTGAAAATGCAAACTGCTTGTATGCCAGCAGGAGGCGCGGTGAGAGCGGTGGAACTAGCGGTTTCTCCAGTAATGGCTGTAAACAAAGCAGCTCCGCTCATGAACGCTACTTTATCAGATAAAAATGCCATCTAAACTATTCTGAAGACAGTCGGTTCCCTTCAGAGATACATTCATATAAAACACCCGCGACGCGTTTTGATTTTGAAACGTGCAGTGCTCATGTTTATTCAACGAAGTCAAACGCCACAAATAAATCAATGTATGGGAAACACTGGTAATGTATATCGAAATATCGGAAATGTGTTTAACAATCATATCATCGTTATTGAAAAAAATTATATCGCGATACATATTGATATTGAATTATTGTCCAGCCCTATATAAACACAAACTTTTATTTTGGATGTGATTAATCGCAATTAATCATTGCCCAGCACTACTCTCAATCAGGAGATATTTTAGTTTGCATTAATTGATTAATGATTGATTTAAAAAAAATTCTGAAAAAAGAAAACATCTATTACTTTTTTCAGAAAACAAAAAAAGTCACGTGTACAAGTTGAATAAATTGTGTGACTGACAGTCTTAGCAGACTGACTTATATATATATATATATATATATATATATATATATATATATATATATATATATATATATGTATTTCAATAATATTTACTTTGATTTATACGTTTTTTTTTATATATATATTTTTGTTCATTTTAGTGTGTTAAACATACATGTTTTTGTTTTTATATAGACTTATTATATTTTACGTTTACATTTTCACCAACACAATTCTTATTTTTTAATAACGAGAACATTCCTGAGTATTTCTAAAATGCACCCCCGCAATTCATCGTCCTCTCTGTCTTGTCTCTTGTCTCATCTGAGCCTTCTTCTCTAGGGAGAGTCTTCTAGTATAGCTGAATCAAATCTGGTGCGGGCGGCCATCACAGGGCCCCATATTAAATATCAGGGGCGGATAACTAGTTAATAAGCACAGCAGACCCGAAGCAATTGATTTTTCTCGTCAGCATGTTGTAAGCACGTTCTTCTCACCCATCTCCAGTCAAGTGTGCGTCTGCGCATGACTTCATCTGTAGCGCAAGCTTGATGTCAGCTCCGGTCTGCAATTGAAGTCGCGTTTGTTAACCACGTTTATCACGACCAGCGGTTAAAAGCGTGACTTTGCACACAGTTGCTTGATAGGTTTATGACTGAGTGTGTGGAAATGAATGTTAGTGGATGATGTTATGAACACTGTGTCTCTGTCCGAGCGTGGGTGTGCAAGTAGGAGGATGAAAATGGACAGAACGGGATTCCTAAGTGGAGCTGCAGGAGCGTGACAGCTTAGATTGATTCATTGCTTTCCTCCGTAGAGACTTGCTCACTTTCGCCCTCCCTCTGAGCACCAGGCAACCGTTTAGACTAGCCGTAGCGTTGTATCGGGGGGCATTAAGTGTTTTAGCCGGCCGGGGTATGAATCACTGCAGCTGTTTGATGTCATAGAGAAGAGCGAGCAATGAGCACAACCCACCCGCCACCCGTTTTATTAGCTTAGCGCTTAGCTCCAGACGTGACACACACTCGTTTATTTAATATCGCTCGCAATATTTCTCCCAGTCTGTGCCCGTCCTCCTCGGCCCTCCGTCTGAATCTATCCATCTCTCCTCGACAGTAGAGCCCTCTCCCCTGAAGAGCACCTCTCCTTTTTCCTTTTGCTGATTTGATCAGGTATCACAGGATGTTGCGCGATATTGTCTTATGAAAGGGGCCGGGGAGATAAATCTCAATGATGATATCATTAATCAAATCCTGAGGGGTCATGAGAAGGGGGAGGGAGGTGTAGTAACTCTTTCCTAGCCGAAACACAAGGCAGTTGCTGTAGCTTTTGAATTTTAGCTTCACAAAAATTACGTACTTGTTTTTTTCTTTTCTTCATGGTGTGCGTCAAATGGATGAAGCATGCAAATTTACGGGAATGACTGTGCCATTGTTTAATTTCCAATTTCCTGAAGTGAGGGGTCTTAATCTGAGCGAGCTGTAAAGAGGCCATATAAGGAGCTGAAATCATTTCATTCCACTTTCAGCCTGAAAACAATCCCAAGCCCACTGTTTGTAAAACACATGCATTTCAATCTGCAATGAAAATGAGACTTGTCCCCTTTAGTTACAGTGATTCATTGTGGATTGTGTGTGTGTGTGTGTGTGTGTGTGTGTGTGTGTGTGTGTGTGTGTTGGAGTGAGAGGGTGAGCGTGTTACCGTGTCGTGAGTTGTGTAAATTGTATACATGTGTGTCTTCGTAAGGCAGAGGGGGCTGATGAATTCTCCAAGCTCTCCTGTGCCCAGATGGGTAATGATCTCTGGGTACAGGGGTCGCCTCTGTCCCCGCTCATTCCGCACATGATAAATGAGGAGGGCTTTGCCACCCGTGTGATTGCAGCCAAATTTCATGCTCAACTTGAAACAGCAGAATTTTTTGGTGTACCTCCACAATAGTTAAATTTTATTTTCAAATTCATTAATGATGACTTGGTTTTTCTTTTTTCTTTTTCTTTTAAACCAGCCACTTTTTTTTTACACTTTTCAACCAATAAAAAAAAGCTTTTTGATTTTAAGGATCATTCTTTTTGTAATTTAAAAAAAAATATATATATTTACGTTTTTTCCTTTTTATTTATTTATTTTAATTACAAGCTGTTGTGCTCAGCCTCTTGATTTAAAGTTTGCACTGATCCTTACTATCACAACTGAATATAAGGATTGATTGGCAGCCAAGTGACTTTATAAAGATCTCCCAGTATCTGTCTGCACTTGTAACTCATGTGTTCTCATGTCAGGCCATATAGACCTATAGATTAGACCGCCTTCTACAGTTAGGCTCGGCTCTGATGGAGACAGATGGTTAAGGGGCAGGATAATGAAATGAGAAATAGCTTCACACTCAGAGCCAGATCGTAATGACAGTGTGAGATAGCAGTGCAAGCTTCATCTACTTCCTGTTTTAACTTGTGAATTTGTTGCTTAAAAAATAAAAATATTCCCCAATAGAGAGTGATGCCTGTATAAAGCATTAGACCAGCACGTCCATCATTGGTTTTAACATCCAAATAGATTTTTTATATAATGGGTGTGCCGTTATAGACCACAGCTGTAGGTAAGTGACATTATTAGTTTGGATGTCAGTCCTCATTGTGGTTTCCTGAGTAACGTAAACTCTTAATTGAAATGACATTATTCCTTCCCTAGATGACATCATTGGCATTATTCAGCCAGCACACCGCTGCAAAGCGGAGCCGAGGCCTGTGTTTAATATGTTTAAAACTTTTTCCCACACACTCAACGGCACCTTAAAGATTTTCAGTTTTGAACTTACCTAGCCACCCCTCTCCAGGTTTTACACCTGCTTTTGTATAAAACACAGCCTGGCTCTCTCTCCCCCCAAACCATCTCTCCATCTCCGTCCACATAAAGAAAGAGTAAAACCCTTTTTTTATTACCCAGGGGAATTAAATAACTTTTAGAATGTGTTTTTTTATAAAGCACCACACAATGAATATTCATGCTGGAGCGGGTCGTGCATTACTTGGGGGAAAAGTTGTATTCTTTTGTAGGGCCAGTGACAGCATACGGGCAAGTGAACCGCAGTGATTTATGAAGCTGTTAAAGAAAAACAGCAGGCATGGAGCACGGTACACCTACTCTCCTGTCTGCTTTATAAGCATGCACGCTAATCAAGACTAAATGCTTTTTTACAAGCCGGCCACTAATAAGAAGAGATTTTAAAGCTTTATAGTCCCTGTGCTGATTGTAGGCTGTAGGGAATTGACCGTCTGGACGACTCGCTCTCCTTGGTCAAGGTCGTTGTGTTGTTGGGGGCTTTTTGAGAGAAACCTGGGTTAGGTTTAGGGTGACCTTGAGAAGATGCCTGAAGATGTCAGACTTCAGAGTTTTACTAACATCTTTATTGAGATTAAATGAAAATAAAAATTCACCCTTTGTTTTCTAAATACATGTAGATCTTATTGTGACCGATTTATCCAAGCATGTTTTTATGTGTTTTGACCTTGTAACTTTTAGGGATGCAACGATACCATTTTTTCAGAACCGATCCGATACCAGAAGTTTTGAGTATCGCCCAATTCCGATCCGATACCAGCACAGTTTTTTTTTAATCAGTGTAGAATTTCTATACTTCTGTGTGTTGACCTGATCATCACTCTTGTGTGTGTTAAACACAATCTGCTAAATATAGACAACTTAATTTTAATGAAAAATAACAAATGAGAAAATATATCATCATAATTTGACAAAAAATACTATTATAAACTAGGTTAGTGGATAATTCAGCAGCAAAAGTTATTCTAGAAAAATCATGGGTGCACAATCATTTTATAAAAACAATAAACTGAACTAAACATTTAGTGAAACAACAATATTTAGTGGGGAACTAATAAAAGTTAATAAGTGTTGGACTAAATCTGGTAAAATGTTACACATTGCTCTTTGTATTGTTGTAAAATACATTCATGAAAAACAAGCAACACAGAGTCACAGCGCGCAGCGCTCTGCATAAAAAAAGGGAAGAGATATTGCTGCGTAGTGTATTATATCTGTGTGATATTTTATTGAGCCTTTTCTTTTAACAGTTTTAAATCTCAGTTATTGTGTGCTCTTGAAGAGAGTTTCGTCATTTTGACTGTAGTAACCAAACGCGACACGCAGTTTGAATGCTGAATGGAGGATGACAGACAGACACAGCGGGGAGTTGAGTTTACGTGAACTTGACTTAAATATTCATCTATACTTCACATTAAACTATGGAACGGCTTAAAAACTCTTAATATATAGTGCACGGAAACTTTATGGTGCTTATATAATGTTTTTGTGCCTTTCGTGGGGCTTAACAATAACACAGCATAGTATATGCACAATATCGGATTTGGATCGGTCTCGTCTGACCGATACCCGATCCGGCAGAAAATGGCAGTATCGGAGCCGATACCGATCCTGAGTATCGGATCGATGCATCCCTAGTAATTTATCAAACTTCTCCAATCATTTTATCCTATAAACCCAACCTCCATCCAATCAACAGCCGATGGATTGTAAGAAGTCTCTGCCCTTATTTCTTTTTCAATATTTCTTGTTCGTGTCACAATACAGAAGAAAAGATCTGTTGCTACTTCAAGTCATCGCAACTTTAAATGAAACTGAATGTGTTAAATTCCTGGCTGCCAGATTTTAAGCTTTACTTTTCAAAGTGCCAATGATTCTTCAGCTACACTGTCATTGTTCTTCCTTTAAGTTGGCCTTATTGGAGCTGCTGAGTCCATAAATGTTTTTTTCCGTTTTAATAGCCCTTCCTTGATTTACATTCTAATACTGCCTGATTACCGAGAGGCCCATGTCCTAGTGTGTGTGGTGAGCGTGTACTCATTGTGGAGTCACACAGGCATGTAATAAATGAAGCTGTTGGAAAAGGCAGTGGAACGGCAGGCACTAATCGGGGGGATTGTGCCTAGGAGAACGCTGGCGCAACGTTAAATCAATACTGTAGATCAGTGCTCCATCTGGCTGGAAAATGAGCGGATCACCATAAACATCTCGCCAAGCACCTCGCCGCACAATCAATGGTGGCCATATTGATTTAGTTATTGCGAGTTCATATGCTGTGGACAGTGTTAAATATACATTCAGCAGCTGAGAGGCATTTGTCTGTGGAATGTTTAGTGAAAGCCTGAGAGGTGAGAAGTTGGGGGAACTGGTGCGAGTGTGACCTCAGAGGACTGAGGAAGCCCAGTGCCCTGTTTAATAAGATTGAAATGGTGGTACAATAAAGAAAAAACATATTAGTTCATATTGACATCATGGTCCTTAGCAGTGATGAATTTCACTGTTTCCAGTTGGGCCGTCTGTTTTTATTAGTGTTTTTGGGAGTTAGTAGTCATGTTTGTCTGAACTGAAGCTGTGTGGTAGCTTTGCAAATTTGCCTGACTGCACCAACTTTTAAAAAGTAATTAGCATTCCACTGTTTTCAGTTTTATGTATGAGCCAAACTGGTTTGCAGTGCTCTAATTTAACCAACCTCTAATTTTTTTTTACCTGCAGGATCACAGAGGACTCCACAGCGACCACACTGGAGGCGCTAAAGGCCCGCATACGAGAACTGGAAAAGCAGATCCTCAGAGGAGATCGATACAAGTGTCTCATATGCATGGTGAGAACTCTCGCTTGCCAATATTCCGTACGTTCGTGTGGGTGTGTTTGGTTGCAACCCATCCTTAATAACATAAACCATGATATAACCTAACACCCGCAATCATGCACCCAGCCGGCTGAAGCTTTGTGATGGTTTGCCTCTTGCGGCTTCAATCTCGCATGGACTGGAAATTAACCCGCACAATAAGGTTCTGTTGAAGGAGTTCTTCTAGAAGTAGTGGCCATCCTGTTGGATATCAATGCTAAACATTTTCAGCTTTATTCCTGTAGGTGCTTCTGACTAATCTGACATGCCTCTGTTGGTCTGGAGGTAGATTAGATCTATACTGACTTCTGAGTTTCATTAAAATGAAATAAAAACATCCTTAAAGTCATACACAGTTCTGGCATTGTTAATAAAGAGGCTTGTAAATGTTTTGATCATTTGTGTGTCTTGCCGTCTGTTGAGCATTTCCCAGTGGTGGCCTACTGCCACCTGCTGGTTATTGGATATATAGCAGACCAAAAAATGAATTCTCAGTAAATGATTTGGACTGAAAGTGCAAGAAGTGTTTCAGACAGCTTAGCATGATATCCAAACGTAATATTCACAGAAAAATGCAACGGAACTCCCAACCATCCCTTTTATCCTGACTCAGTGTTGGCCGAGAGCTTCTGTTGATAACTGCACCCGTTGGTTTGATGTGTGTGTCTGTGCCTGCCGTAGCGGCCACATTCTTGTTCTCAGTGCCGCTCTTGAATATCCCTGCAGCGCAAGCCGACCCAAACAGGGGCTGATGGCAAGAATCAGGCGGTCGAGAGGCACGGGAGCGCAGAGGCCCTGCAGCTCGGCGTGTACTGTTTGTACAGAGGCTACGTAACGGGCTGCAGCACTGCCACTGCGGCCAGCAGTGGGATTAAGAAGCTGCTGCCGCTCCGGAGGGTAAGGCTCTCTGTGCTCCCATTGGCCTGACCCCGCCTGACCCCTGCATTGCCCCACACACTCCCTCACTGCCCACCTGCCTGCCCCCCATGGCCGATCTGTGCTGTGCTGGTGCTGTCTAGTGACGTCTGATGCTGTGTATGTGGGTGTTTAGATGTGAATCATGTTCAGTTGACTTGGTTAAATTAATCGTTGCTCTTTTTTTGTCTTTTGTTTCTCTACCTCAGGACTCGTATGCAATGCCACTCACCTCCATCCAGTGTTGGCACGTGCACTGTGAAGAATGCTGGCTAAGGACTCTGGTAAGAATTACACACTTGCTGTTCAGTAGGCTCATTGAATGTTCTGCAGATTTAGGCAATATCTGAAAACCTGTTTCTATGTTAAATTCTAAACATTGCTTTGCAATACATATGTATTTGTTTTTAAATAATTGGGCTAAATTGATTATGCTGACAGTTAAGAATCAGGATGGTGTACTGTCAACACCATTTAACATTAAGAATTTTGGGGGGTTTTGAGTTTTCAAACTGTTTGCATGTTTGGAGGTTGATGTGGGGAGGGAAAAGATTTTTCCAAATGTGAAATTAATTTTATTTATTTATTTTAAAGTTTTTTTTAAATTTATACCTGCATTGCTGTAATAGTAGGTGAAGTATGTTAAATCATGCTTTTTTTTACACAAAAGTGGGTTTTTATATTTAAAAAAATATGTATATAGCTTCCTTTATATTTTTGTAAAGGGGTCCATGAAAAAGCAAAAATCAGTATAATAAATTATTGTTTGTTTTTTCTACATTTATTTTAAAGATTTTTGTTTATATCACCATTGCTGTAATAATTGGTAGAAAAATTCACAAATGCTAGATATTTTATATTTTAATTTAGTTTAATTTAATATTTAAATATTAGATAATATTTGTAATCATTTTAAAGCTAAATGAAGCTTATTTGTCTTACACATTATACAGTGTTTTTATATAAAAAAATAATATATATATATATATATATATATATATATATATATATATAAACATATAGCTTCCTTTTTATTTTTGGAAGGGTTCCCTCGCATGGGGTTCATCATATTTGAAGAGTCTTTGATTTGAACATGGCACGCATCACATTGTTCCTTATGTCATGTCTATGTACATTCTTCACACTGAAGTGTAACAGAAATATGGCTATTGCAGATGTGGATGGTTTAAGTTTTGAAATGCGGGTAGTTCAGGTACATATTCAATTTCAGTTCTATGCACCCAGAGTGCCCAGACCTTCTCATGCAGTGAGTCACTCATGGCCTAGGCCACTGTATAATGCGGATAATGGAGTAGTTTATTTTGATAATTCTGTGGTATTTAGCTACAGTATAAGTTGAAGAGTATTTCTCTCAACCAGACCCAGTGAGGTTCCTCACGTAGTGCTCCAGGTTCTAATCCCTTTAGACAGCGTTGCGTATTTAACTAACCTCTTATCATCAGAATTGCGATTGCCTCTACTTGTCCATTTGTAATCTCCACACTTATACTCACAAGCTCTTCCTCTTTTCTTAGCTGTTTTAGCCAGTGTTCCTCAGGGAGCCTGCTCTCATTAGCCACTAACACATTCTGTCACCACACACGGAAGCAATCAATAAGAAAATGTTTCCCAGCTTCAGCCGTTTTCCAATATGCTATATATTAAATCAGCTCCTTCCATCTCCGCTTATCACAAGGCCTTCTGTGTGTATGGCTCACCGACAAGAACAGAGACGTGTGCGCGCCAGCCCGCGCTGCCACAGCGGATTGTTAGTAATGCAGGCATTAAAATTGTTGCCTAAAGACAGCAATAAAAGTAGCACGGCGGGGCTCCTTGCGTCTTGATCAAAGTAAATGTGTGTAATTTGGTTAGCGTCAGCCTTGTTTTATGAAGCTAATGGAGCACAGCAGCTACCCGCCGCTTACGCGAGGAGCCCGCGTTTAGTCCGTGACCTGCCCACGCTCATTAAAACTAGGTAAACTCCTGCTTCCTAGAACAAAGAAACCAAATCTCAGGTCCACTTTGTGTCTGGGGAATCGTGGGTATAGAGGGAAGCACGTTGGGGGTTTGCGGCTCCACTGCTTTGGGTTTTGTTTTATTTTTATTTTATCTTTTACAGAAAATTTTGCCTAAATGAACCTGATTTTATGTAGGAGAATCCAACTTCAGTTTCACAGTTTTACTCCTCCATGCCGGCCACATCAAAATAAACCACTCACATAGTCAGACCATGATGTCAAATTTGAACCATTGCGATTATTTGCACATTCTCCCTCCAGTGGTAGAGCCCATTGTTAACGCGGAACCAGCCAGAATGTGTGTTGTTGGATGTCTTTCTTTCAGTCTGTATGGTCGGGATCAGTGGAGCGGGTTCTGGTGCCCTAGACGTGAACTGAATCGTATGGAGACACAAATCCTCTTTACAGTCAGATGTGAAGGCACACCGCAGGGTTCACGCTCTGACACTCTTACTGCTCCCAGACTCCTTAGTTTACTAACAACAAGTCTCTTTCCTGTACGTTTAAACATACCAGTTCCTATAGGAGCCGAAGCAGTGCACTTCATGTGTATGAGGGGAAATACGCCCTGTGTGTGATCAGTGGCATATGTGCGAGAAGGTTGCACGAGGACATGATCGCCAATGGTTGCGAGATTCCTCACAGTAACATTTCTGTCTGAACTTCAGCTGACAGTTTGGTTGCTTTCTTGGGGCAGAGCACAAACGAGGTTTTAATGCCTTGCATTGTCTGAGTCTCCCTCAAGTGTTGTGGTATTTTTGAAGCTGAGTATATACTTTGCTGACTTTAAGAGCAGATCCTGTTGTGATGTTCAGGCGTTCGCTGTGTAGCATGTGTGTGGTGTAGACAGCAGACCACACAGCTCACCTTCCTCCTCCTCTACCTCTGCCTGCTGTTCTTCTGCTTTTATGGTGCAGGCTTTACGGGTACTGGCTAAACATCAGAGTGGTAGTGGGAAAAGCGCATGCTTGTCGAACAGGGTGGGCTGCCAATGTAAGGCCCGTTTTATGTCCACATACACACACTGTTAAACTACACTACCTTTCAAAACTTTGAGCTCAGTTAGGTTTTTTTTTTCTGAGAGAGAAATTGTATTAAATAGCTCAAAAGTGACTGAATAAATTTAAAAAGTTACAGTAGATTTCTATTTCAAAAGGTTTCTAAAGGTTTCCGCAAATATATTAAGCAGCACAACTGTTTTCAACATTGATGATAATAATAATAAATGTTTCTTGAGCGCCAAATCAGCATATTAGAATGATTTCTGAAGGATCATGTGACACTAAAGACTCAAGTAATGGCTGATGAAAATTCAGCTTTGCTATCACAAGAATAATTTACGTTTTAAAATGTATTAAAATAGCACATCCCCAAACTTTATAAATGGTATTGTACACCAAGAGTACCTTTGTTAGCATAGCATTTTGACCACCTTCTTACTTTTCTTTTTTTGTCTTTCTCTTTCAACAGGGAAACAAGAAACTCTGCCCACAATGCAACACCATCACGTCGCCAGGGGACCTCAGGCGTGTGTATTTGTGAGCAAAACAGCCCGAATTCTTTATTTTTTTTGTTTGTTTTGTTTTACTTTTCATTTCCATTCGCGCTAGTGTTTTTGGTTTTCCCAAGGCTCGAGCACAGACTCACACTGACTAAATGGGGACTGACTTCACAAGCATAGGACTAATGAGGACTGTGTAGACTCAGTTCTCTACTATAATTGCTTATGTGAAGAGCCTTCTCGCCTTCCCTCTTGTGTTGGTCCATGGTCCACCCTCTCCAAAGTCAGCTTGGTTCCTTGACGAGGAACGTGTTGTTCTCAGATGAAGGAAAGAGTACTCATACTGTCCCTTCACCCGCACTGCTGCTGCTGCTGCTCTTCGTCTCCCACTTTCGCAACTTCTTCTCCAAGACCGTTGACGTCAACCCGACTGGAACATCAGCCTGACGATAAGAGGAGACTTTAAACGGACCACCCGAGGCTCTACAGAACCCCTCGACCTTGATTCTTCATTGTGTTCTCGTTCACCCCAAATCATTACTACTTTTGTGGTGTTCTAGTGATGTCAACCAAATTCAATGAATCAGTGCAAGCACATGTATAATAGTCTCTGTATGTTTACAGTGTTGTGAGTAAATGACATAAAGAACAAAACACACATGCACACACATGGACATACACACACACACACACATACAGAAGTATATATTGAATAAAAGTCCTGTTTTAGTTGGGGGCGGCTTGGGTCGGGAGGGAAGGGATATGTTTCAATCTTGGTGAATTAAAAAAAAAAAAAGCAAAGAAAAGAAAACCCTCTGTATTTTTAAAGCAGATGTTGTTGTCTTGAAGTTAAAGTTGTATTTCATTGTACAGGAAGAAATTTAAGTAATAATAATAATAAACTACTCGAACTAGGACTTAAAAGATTTAGGTGTACATTTTTCATTGAAATATACAGTAAAAACTGTAGATTTAATCCTGAAAAAAGGGAAAGTATCTTTTTCTTTGTTTTTTTCCTAAGAAATGGAAAGATTTGCTTTTATTCACCCACGTTTTTGACTTTAATGCTGAATGCTGTTTGTCTGTTACAAACAATTGAAATGAATGCTTATTCATTCCATTGAACATACAGTATTAAGACCCCTGACCAGTTGCATATTATCAGTTTGTTCCCTCAAAAAAGGGACTTTTCTGAAAACGTCAAACACTTAGGGTGGTTTCATTTATAAGTTACATTCAGATTTCCCCCCCCCCCCCC